AATGCCGAGTAGCCAAGTATTTGCAGCCCCATCAAGCCATTTTCTAGCCAAACAAAACATTAGATAGTTGGACATTTGGGTTTTTTACCTCAAGGCCAAGTTGAGGAGTGGTGGGATAATAGCGGCCAGAGATTTTGCCATCCTTGTTAATGAAAAACTTTGCAAAGTTTCACTGAATTTCATCTCCAAAAAGAGACCCCAATTTCCTTATTTTAAGAACTTGTATACTGGAGCAGCATTTTCACCATTCACTTTATTCTAACAAAAAGAATGGTTTAAGTACAATCCACAAGTCAAATGCTGTCACCATTATAGACCTAACTTGTCAAATATGAGAAATAAATAAATAAATCTAAACATAAGATATTAACTAGAGAATACGTTTAGGATCTATAGATGTATATGCAAATGTTCAGAGAATACGTTCATGGGTAGAGAAAAAGATGCAGAAGAAAACCATAAGAGGCCACACAAGTATATGAACAATGTTTGGAAATATCTGCTGCAGTATAGTTATTTAAAATGATTGACTGTATCAAAATTTAGGTTAAAACTGCAATTCTTGATCTTTATACTTCTCATAAAAACTGATTCAGCTCAGTATAGCTTGAGTTGGTTAGGTCACTTTCATGATCAACAAAGCAAGAAAAAAAAGAAAGTAAATAAAGATATGTTGATATTGTTTTGGGGATATATGATACACGAGAAAGAAAAAGATACCCTAAATTGTACAGAGGAAAACGTTTCAAGTGATATTAAGTTATGATTGCAAAAGGATAGAACAAAAACGGTCGATAGTAGATCATGATCATAAGGTCAAATAATTCGTGATGACAACATTTTAGCGGAAGAAGAGGAGAAATAGCATTTAGAAGCGACATTGACAATTAGTAGAACTTTTCCCTCGTAAATGCTGAGATCTATATTACTTCCCTTAGCATCCTGCATTAACTTTAACATGCGAAAAAAATAAAAAATAAAAACATACTAGGCCCTAAAATAAAATTTTAAAAGGGCATGGAAGAATCAAAAGAACACACAAAAACCTCTACAGTTCAGAACTTATCTAACTTATTCTCCCAAGTCTTTGAACTGCAATGAACATATATATAAATCACATGAAAGTTTACGGAAGGTTTATATCCTTTTCCTAGGATCTAAGCTTAAAAGTTTATAAAAAGTTCTCTTTTCTCTTCTATTCTAAGCTCATCATGCTCTCTCAAGTAATAAAACAAATTCCATAAGTTGCTAAAATCAAACCCAACATCCAAAATTCTGATATGTGTTATTATTAGTTTCATCCAAAAAAACTGACCCCACAAAACACCCATATTAAAAGCATTACCTAGTAAAGAATAACTTGAGAACTAACCTTGATAGGGTACATTGTATCAGTGTTCTTTGTGGACTGGTTTGTCATTTTCTGCTACAATATTATGAGCAGTGAGAGAAATATGAGAGAGAAGAAGAGATTAACGTTAAAGTCCTGTTCAGTTTCGTTGACTCCTTCAGCTTTTTTGTCTTCTGATTTTTCCCCCCTTTTTGCTTGCTTCCACACGGCACCACATTAAACGCACATACAAAGAAAGCGTCAAACTTCCAATTATTAATCAAAAAAGAAAAGAAAAAGTTTGATCCATACGCAATTATTGATTCTGGTGGGCTAATGTTGTGCATAAATTGATGCTCAGAGTAAAATACGCATGAATAATGGAGGGACAAAAAGTTTTTCCAAAAAAGAAAAAGAACAGAAAAGAAAAGCAGTTTTGACATTTCAAAATTGCTCTTGGCCAGGCCTATCTGAAACAGTCAAAGTTGGTTGTATTATTTTACCCCTCTCACCTTTTAGAAATCTCTAAGAAAAGAATAATCATCTCAAGAAAGCTTTCTAAAAGACCTAAAAAGTGCTTTCAATCTGGTGTATTTATCTGCAACCATGGAATTCAGCTCTCATGTTTTTGCAGTTTGGATTTAACCGGTTTTTGAGTTATCGAAAACAGCTGCTTCGAGACAGATGAACAGAGGTCCTCTACAGACAGCTCTGCGTTCAAATTCTTGTAATATCTAAAACGGCATTACATAGATCAGTCAACATAGAACATACAACTGGAATTGAGAAAGGGTGATATGGTAAGTACAAGAATGCATAAAAAAAAAGTGGAGGGATTGCATTTGCTTTAGTCTTCTATTACCCCTCTTGATAATAACAACGCACATTACAACCTTAACAGCAGAATTCTTACAGGTCTCAAACATGCAAAAAGCAATCATATCTAGAAAGACCTAAATTCACATTGATTTTGTTCATGCCTCCACATCTCAGCAATCATGGTATCCCCAAGAGCTTCTTTATGTCACGCTGCGAAAAATATCATGAAGCTAGATCAGTTATGGACATCCGGTGGCATAACATTTCGCCACCTATTAACAACTCAGGTGGCATAATATATCATAAGTCTTGTCAAACAACTTGCACTCCTGAGAAATAAATTGCGCAATAAAAGAGTTGGATATCCGGCTTTACCTCAAGGCTAAGGGCAGAAGTTGTTGGGTAATAACGGTCAACGACTTTCCCGTCCTTGTCAACCAGAAACTTGGCGAAGTTCCATTGGATGTCATCTCCAAAAATTCCCCATTTGCCTAGCTTTAGGAACTTGTATATCGCAGAAGCATTATCACCATTCACTTCGATCTAGTAAAGTTATAAAAGGATGGTTTAAGTATAACACAAAAGCAAACCTCACAATCTAAACCAGTTACATTCTGAAAGTACACTCGAGAAGGCATAGAACCATGTAAAATTGTAACTTGCAATACATCCAAGCATCCTATCATCATGAACACTGAAAGCATTATATAGAAGTTATCATCTTCAAAAGTTAAGACAGAATATTTGCATCGGTGTCAAAATTTTACTTTTAATAATAGGTTATTAACAACTAAAAAACTCCTCAGTGTGCCATCTAATGCATGTTTGTGTATGTATATGTAGACACGTATGCAACATCAATGATGATTAATAGTAAGCAAAAAAAAAAAAAAAAAAGGATGGGATATTTCTTTTATTCTCTTAACTAATTAGACTAGAAAGAAAACCACAGCAAGCAAGATGTCTTGGTGCTTGGGATTGCCCGATCGGCACCGTTATGGTAACTTAGAAGGTAAAAAGCGCACAATCTACCTTATCAAAGATAGGAAAATCTGATTTGAAACGAGTGCAGACAAATTCTGTAATCTCTTCATTACTTCCAGGTTCCTCCTCACCAAACTGGTTACATGGAAATGCCAATATCTCCAAGCCTATTAAGCCCCCATAAGAGTATGAAGTTAATAGATATGTAATCAGTTTTTTTCCCCTAGAGCAAGTTACCGAACATAGAAATTTGAAGTTGTTATTGGGAATAGTAGGCTTTAGAAACGATTTAAGTTTAGAACACAAACCTTGATTTTTGTACTTCTCATATAATTGATTCAACTCCGTGTAATTTGAGTTGGTCATTCCACTTCCAGTGTTAAGAAAATAGAAAAAATAGTTAATAAACAGATATGAACAACAAAATTGACCATCTCTGTAATACAAGAAAGAAGATCTTAAAATGTTCAGCCAAAAGAAAGTAAGTGACATATTAGTTGAAATCCACAGGATTCGGACGAAAAAGTTGGGATAAATATCTAAGGGACAGGAGAATTACTACCATTTAGAAGCAACATTGACTATAAGTAGGACTTTTCCCTTGTAAGTGCTAAGATCTACATCATTGCCCTTGGCATCCTGCATTTACATGGAATAAATAGGTTATTAGCACATGCAGAAATCTGCTCAAACGCACTTTTACCAAAGCTGAACATTATCAGAAGCATATGCAAGTTATAATAAAGAAAGTTTTAGAGCCTAACTGAAAAGGATCTAGCTAAGCTAGAAAAAAAATAATATTAAATAAGGGAGCATAAAGAAAGCTCAATAACAAACTTTTCAAAACATAGGCCATCCATGTATATTCAATTCCCATGTGCAAGCTTTTCAAAACGAGTCATTCCCTTTTCCTGAATATTATGCACTTCCAATTATCCAAAGGAATCCATTACTCAATGCAAGAGAGCCCACAAACTTAATCTGTCCCTACTTTCCAGACACCCATGTCAAAATAATATAGCAAATCACATTCCCTTACAATTTGAGCTATCAAAACCTGTGTTTCCTTTCACAAAGACCACCAACTTGATCTTAAAGTTCAAGTATTGTGACAAGTTCTTTATTTCCCTTTAGTATCCCTTTCGTAATTAGTGAAAATGGCCAAAAGGGTTCACCTTAAAAAAAAAAAAAAAAAAAAAAAAAAAAAAAAAAATCCAACACACACAAGTGGTCTCAGGCTCTCAGCTCATGGTGCTCAAACTTAGGGGTATTTTCGGCAACGCGGTAAATCAGAGCGCCCAACATCGAAAATCTTCTTGTGATGCTAAAGATGAACGTTTTATATGGAAAATCAGTCGTCTCCACAAACATTCACGTCAAAAAGTCTTACATTTAACGGAACATCCACAAACGGAACAGTTTATCATATGAATATAAGGATGTGTTAACAATTCTATAAATTTGATTCAAGAGACTAACCTTGACAGTGAAGCTGTAGATTGTTTCCGGATTCTCTTTTGGGTTTGGCTGGCTTGTCATTCTTTGCTGTCGTCTAAGTCTCAGACTAACCTCAGATAGTGAGCTTGTTAATATTCTTTTTTTTTCTCCTTCCTATTTATTAATTACTTTTTTTAATAGATATTTAAATCTAATATTTTTTGAGAGCATTATAGTGACAAGTATAGGTAATTTTATATGTAAGGGGATTTAGAAACTCATATTTTTATTATTGAGCAAATTCTTTATAAAGTTCTCTTAGTTGGAGGACTTCTGGAGAAATGCTTCGTCTTATATATTGCTGAAGCTCATCACACAAGACTCTGATCTTATCCGACATGATAAGATTTATACTGTATTACCTTAGACTTATTTTACAAAGGACAAGATGACTTTTGATAAAATGGATCACACACTGTTCCACTTTTGACTAATTTAAACAAAAGAAAGAATCACTTTTGACAAAATGGCAGCCATACTATTAAGCTTTTGACTAAGCACACAAAAGACAAATAGACTTTTTTATGGACGGTATAGAAAGAAGATGGTATGCACTAGTAGGATCTTTGTTGAAGAGAAGATCCAGACCCTGTATCGCTGAAGAAGTCTTGAGACTTCCTTTCTCCACCACATGAGTGGATTAAACGTCTCTAGAAGTTGCCACAGAGTCGATCCTCCATTACTGGGATCATTGAAGTGTGTGTGAAGCTGCATGAGTGGACAATTTAGGGTGATCTTATAAAGAATTGTTTGGCACCATAGGTACCAAATATCATCTTCAGTAATTTCGCCAAAGGGACGAAGATGGTAGAGGGCAAAATATGGTTGCTCTGTATTGTACAGGAATTGGGCATGTGGGTTATTAGTTCTATTGCAAACATTGGTCAGGTAAACTTGATTGCCTACATGGATACCGGTGCAGGAAGAACAATGATGAATCCAAGAGTCATCCCACAAGATTTTTAGATACCGCACATTGAGTATTTCAAAGTTGCAGATGATCAAGTGTTCAAGACAAAACTGATTACCAAAAGTAAAATTGGTATCAAGTTCTTCCCTGGATGCATCACAAGGACAAGAATTGTTGGAAGCTCACTACTAGACAAGGATTTACTCATCAGAATAGATGTGTACTGCCAAGTAAAGAAACTTCAAATCCTTCCCACATGACTGAAGTATAAAAGGCAATTTAAGCCTTAGTCTATCATCCCAAAGATGTTCTCAATCAAAGAGGCTTCAACTAGTTATAAAGAAATCAAGAACAAGCTTATGAAATGTTGTGCTGATAGCCATGATCAGTACATCATCGTAATTATTATTATTTTTAAAACTAGTCTGTGTTTTTTGTTTTTTATTTTTTAATACTATTAAAAATTAATTTGGGGTTTATTAATAAAATGGTAAGTGATATTTCATCTCCTAGAATACGGATCCAAGATATTAGAATGATATATTTTGAAAACTAAGAAGTATCTTCTTAATATTTTCTGAACAGAAGGATATTAATGCGACCAAAATGATAAAACCATTTTTTCAAAAAAATATTGTTGTTGCTAATTGCTATGATCTTTTTGGTTGTTCAGCGCGTCTTTCTTTGAGTTATGTTGTTTATTAATCTATAGTCATTTATATCTTCTTGTCGTTTTCGAGTTTATTGTCGTTTGTATGGACCACCGGTTGATAGATATTGTTGCTTTACAGTCGTTTATACATGGTTGTCCTTCTGAGTTGTTCTCAAACAGAATAACTAAAGGTGATAATTCGTGTTATCTCAAACAGAATAACTAAAGGTGATAATTCGTGTTAGTTAGTCGTGTTCATGCTAAAAAATATCAATCTAAATATGACTTGTTTATTAAATATGTTAAAAATGTCAACTTAAACACGATCCATTTATTAATTGTGTTAATCGTGTCAACTATTATAACCCGTTTAAATTAATATATTGAATAATAACTAATATAATAATGACTTATTTAACACGGTCAAGACAAGTTTAACATGTTTATTGGTCAATTTATTTTTTCCTTTTAAATAAAATAAATGAATTTTACCTACAAATATTAAAATTCACATTATTTGTATTTAATATGTCATATAAACTTTCATATTATATCACATCATTAAATTGCAGATGACACATCGTTAATCGTGTCAATTCATGTTATGAGGTCAATTTTAATTCAATCTATTTATTAATCGTGTTAATCGTATCAACCCAATTATGACCCAAACCTGATAATTTTATGTGAGTTTTGAGTCGTGTGGTCGTCGCTATTTCAATAACAAAATCAAGATTTACCGAGGAAAACAGGAAAATGCAAAAAAACAATAAGTTAAAAACGACCACATAAGAAAACGACAACATGGATGAAGGATAATATACTATGGCAATATCAGTAAAGGACAAGAAATGAAAACGACAACAATAGACAAAACCACGCTAAAATAACTGAACACACTCAACAAAATATCAACGTTATGAAAAAATAATAAAAATAAAAGCGACAGCAACTAAGTAGCGACACCGAAACCAGAAGAGAAAAATGAATAGTTAAAGCCTAAACAAGACACCAAACATAAGCAACGGCAAAGAAGGAAGAAAACGACATAAAACAGCAAAAAGTTGAAAATGTCAGCAACATATGTATACGCCGCCAGAAGCAGAGGTGGAAACATAGTCCCATACGACATGACAAAAAAATGAACTGAAGGGTAAAATTACTCTAATAAGTGGCAAAAGGAATAAACGCTAGAGAGAAAGGACTTCGTATTGGATATTAAGAAAAAAAAATCATTGTTTTAAAAGGCAGAGAATATTATAATCACACTCAAGCAGGTGAACGATACAATAAATAAATAAATGAATAAATGGGTTAATAGTTGTGTTAGTTCCTAAACTCTGAGCATTATGATATTTTGGTCCTTAAATTTTTAGTTTAGACATATTTAAAACTTGTTTGTTTTGTATATTCAAATTCAAATCATTAATTTTGCTATATTATTTTCTTCTCATAAAAAATTTAAATTTCAAACGTCAGAATTAAGAATCATGGTTTGAGTATACATTCCAAACAAATCCTCAGTTTTAGTCTCTAATAGTAAAATTGACGAACAATTTTTGAAATAGTTTGAGTATACATTCCAAACGGATCCTCAGTTTTAGTCTCTAATAGTAAAATTGACGAACAATTTTTGAAATTTAGCCTAAATAATCATACGTACAATGCATAAACCAACTAAAACAAAAGAGTAGAAAAACAAATGGTTGAAAATTGTACATCTAAAACGACAATGAAAAATGTAACACGTGATTCCAAAAGTGAGAAACGACAATAAAGAATAAAACGACACCAAAGCAAAATAACACAAAAGTAAGGTTCCGTTCACTTCGCTGATTCGAGTTTAAAATTCGAGTTTTTCTACAGTAAAAAGCTCTCACAAACAATCACATTTAACTTTTTTGTTATAATAAAAAATTCTCACATAAAATCACATCTCAACTCAAATTCTAACTCGAATCAACGAAATGAACGAGGCTTAAGTGAATCACACCAAATAATGACGTTATTCAAGAGACAATAAAACACGCAATGACACGAAAATAGTAAATAACCGTAAACATCATAAGAAACAACAATTTTAACGAAAACGAAGCCAAAGTAAAAATGACATCATGTCAAACCACAATAAGGTAGAAAGTTCAAATAAGGAAACTAAAGTTTAAAACGACATCATGTGATAAACGATAATAAGTTAAAAGTTGATGTTGTACGAAATTTTACTCTAACATTTCTTATCAATTAAAATATTTTAAATTAAATTGTAGCAAATAAAAACAAAAACAATGTGATTTTCACTTTTTGCTACATTTTTTCTTTTTTTTTTTCTCCTATCAATTAAAATATTTTTAATTTTTTCTAAAATTTCAGAAAAATCCAACCCCAAGTAGGCACGGGAAAATAAAAGAAAAATAGAACAACCCGACCCCAGGTGAGCACAGAAAAATCCAAAGAGTAAAAACTTTGGCGTGAGAAAATCTAAGCCCAAATTGGGCTTGGGAAAATCACGAAGCTTAGGAAATATTATCACGAAAAAACCCGACCCCAAGTGGGTAGGGGAGGATAAAAAAAATGTTAGAACAAAATTTCTGAACATATAATGTTGGAGAAAACCTGGAATTCAACAATCGGAATTTTGCCCACCAGGGGTCGGGTTTGCCCTCCTTCTAGCGCCAAAAATGTTGGAGCAAAATTTCATCCAACACTTATCCAATGTCCCCATATTAATAATTCAGATTGAATAAGTAAATTATCTAAAGAAATTAGAAGAATACTCGAAGAACACAAAGAACTTCTGAAAGAGTAACAAGAACAAAATGAAGACAATCACAAGACAATTGTATTCAGAAATGAGTGCGTCCCTTTCTCTCTATAATTGAGGGAATTTATAGTACATTGGGATTAAAGGAGTTTAATTATCCCATTAATTCGAGAGAATATTATCTCTTAATTACAATGAGGCTCTTCACTAATTTATGAGTTAAAACTGATAAATAATCAATGAGAATTAATTTTTCAATCATTCAATGTCTTCAATTAGCGTCGGTTACTTCACTTGATGACATCACGCAACCTTTGAACTTTCAGCTCATGAGAACTTGAGCTCAGGCGAGCTTGGGCTCTGGCGAGCTTGGGCTCCGGAGAGATTGGCCTCCTGCAATTTTAGGCTTGAGAGAGATTGACCTCATACGAGATTGGCCTCAAGCGAGCTTGGGCTCCAGCAAACTTAGACTTAGGCGAATTTGGGCTCCGGCGAACTTAGGCTTAGGCGTATTTGGGCCAGGGAGACCTTTTGAATTTATTGCGGTTTAATGCTTCCAGAACTGCCGCCCAACATCAGCCGCCCAGTCCACGAGTGTCGCACGCCAAGTGAAGGGGACTAAAACTTGCCTTAAATTTTTTTCTCTTTTTTTTTTTTTTGTGTGAACCCACCGAACATTACTTCTCCCTTCCAACATACCATGTATGTTGAAGATTTGACGAGGATTTTCCAGAAATTCTTTCCTTTTCTGAAACAACTCATATCTTAAAGATCT